AAATGCTTCAGCCCCTCATAAATGTTCTTGTCGTCGTTCGATAGCATCACGAGTACCAATGACGGCTTTGACTTCAGATTCATCAGTGCCTCACGAATAGTCGCGATAGCATTCTTTCTAAGTGGATTCGTGTCTTCCAGTGGGAGATTCGCAGATATAACTGGAGGCTGTTCTTCTGCTACATGCATCCCGCTCGTCCTGCACATGGTCATGAACCCGTTGATAACATTATTGAGTGCGTGGTCTTGAGGCCCACTAAATTCGTCTCGATTACAATCGCCGATGAGCAGGATCGCCCAGTTCTCCAGGCGCGCGCCCGCAGCAAAGCGTACGCCCCGCAGATTCCATGAAGCATGGTCATCGATACCGGGCGACACATTGTTGGCATACTCGAGTCCAGGCTTCGGGAGGATCCGACCGGGAACAACCCTCATGTTGGCCCCGATGGATACGCCAAACGAAGTGAGGACGGGTCCTTGGTTTAAAAACCCAAGCCCCCTGAGGCCATTGTCCATGATAGTGTTGCGATTGACATTGGGTGACTGGCATGCAACTGTGTTCATGGCTGCAGTTTGCTCATCCGTAAGCTTGTGATGGAAAGGCTGTTCAGGGAGGATTTCGCAGATTTCGGCTGGCAAGTAGATATTGTTTCGTCTCCCGACATCGACAAGATGCAAGTCAGGGTACTTCAGACGAAGGTGATATTCTGCGAACAATATAGCGCCAAGACTTGAAGGGAAAGACATGATACTCACTCAGAAAGAAGTACCGCTCCATTGAAACTCGTCCTCCAAATTCGTCGCACTGGAACGAGTATTCGCGTGCGTTCTGGCGTGCGAGACACTTGACAATCTTCCGAGCGCCAAGAGCAGTGACCCTGAGGCCTTTGCAGAAAAACTCCATTCGTGCACCGAAACTGGAGAAGTAGAAGGTCTTCATTTGCACCGCAAGGTTTCCAGGGGTGTAGAACGCTGTAGTGCAGACATTCACATTCACCATCAGTTGACCATCAGCTGGGCGCACGGAGGTGGAAAAGCCCTTCCATGCCTCCAGCCCACCGCCGAGATTCGATGGAGTAGCAGCGGAGCGAAAGTAGCGGGCTTGTCTGATTTTGATACCGCTCCACAATGAATGTGCAGCAAGAATGAGATTCAACGCGGAAATAATAGGAAGGATGTTGTAGCTCCGATACTGGGCATCTCCATTCAAGTACCTTACATACAAGAAATGAGTCGTGACGTGTCCCAAACTTCAAGTTGTATATCCTACTTACATCGTGATGTCCTGCGTATTAATTTTCTTGACAAATGTGATTGTGAGCGTATACTCTTTGCCACCCTGCGCCGGAGGCCCAGTTTGGCCATCGTCATAATAAGGCACTCTGATCGCAAGAGGTTGTGCTAGAACCCGAGCCGATATAAGCCTCGTGCTGCCGTCGTGAGCAACACGACCACTCATCCCAGCCAGATTCCACGCAGTAGTTTGCTCGGCAAGCTGAAAAATACGATGATTGATGCGATGAGTGAAAGCCACGGGGGTAACGGAGATGACATATTCATTGAGTGGACCCTTGGGGATGCGCACGTGAAAGAAATTGGTGCGAGGTTCGATATGCTCCCCAACAGTCCCAAGGTCAGGGCGTAAGGGTGCACTGTAGGAGTCTGGCTGAGAGCTCCGCAAACGAGCAATAAGCGCTGAATCGTCGGAGAGTCGAGCATTGATGTTAACTGCTTGGTTCTCAAGGAAAACTCTGGGTTAAAAGTTGTGTTAGAACTTGTGCCATTGTTCCAAAATGTGGCACCGACTCGCTTCCCCCGCGCTCTCTGTCAAACCCTCGACCGCCACGATTGCTGCCCCTGCCACCACCCCTGCCACTGTAAGCCATGTATTTACTGGGAAGATGGTTCGTCCTGAGCGATTCTGTGCACGGTGCTGACTCCTGAATATTGAATATTTACCAATCTGCAGTGCAAGTGATATGATGTAAGCGCCGTCCACTGGTACCACCGTAACTGCGTGCAGGGCCCAGGCCTCAGGATGGAAAATGCATAAAGCATCACCTCAGGATATGCGCTCCGTTACGCTGGCATTTGCTAGTAGGCAGACTCTAATAGACTCTGTTAGCTTGCGAGCCGGATTCATGAACCGATGGCTTCATTCTAGTAGACACGTATCTGTGGTGACTCACTTCATGATCAACATGAAGTGAGCCACCACGCGGTTGACCAACCAGTGGGAGACAAACAATATTACATAAGAGGCACCCCCTAGACTCCCGTAGACCATACGTTCCTTCTAACTTACACTATGGGATTAGGGATACTTTAGTTCTCGTATTAGTACATAAACGCATATCTTTCTTGCCGCCTCAACACCGAACGAGATACTCCACCGAGGTGAGTCACCAATGTATCTAAGGAACCACTAATTTCAGTTCTCAGCGATTAAATGATTGAATTAGTCGACGAAACAGAGGTTCAAAATCATGTTATTATTGCGTGTTGCCAAGAATGCAGTCCTGGAGAAGCTGCAGTGTAAAAAAGAAACATCTCAGCAGCAAAGAACCGTTCCAAAAAAGATCCCATGATCCGAGTTCCATGAGATGTTCTTCAAAAGACCGTAGGGAAACAAGTTGTCTTATGCAACGACCATGCTTTCTTCTGATGATCGCGGTTGCACTGTTGGTAAAAACAAAGTAAGACAAAAGCAAAAAAGAGACGCGCATGTACTTGCATAAACAGCTGTTTTGCACCTGCCGCATGGGACGCCAGGGTGAGCTATTGCAACAAGAATAAGAAAGTAATCATACCGCGCGCATTGCAAGAGCTTCGAGGTTCCGGTATTCGCACAATCTTCAAAGCCGCATTCGTTGAGAGAGCATTCAACGTGTTTTTTCAAGCCGCGCGCGATGGCGGTTGTCTCCCTGTGTATAGACCACGTCACTACCTCGCTCGGCGACGAAACGAGCAACTCACGAATCACCCTCGAGTTGCCTGAGGCAACGCGTGATCTGTTGCTTCTGGTACGTCCTGTTCCATTGACGGAGTTTTGGAAGAAGCGCCTGTCGATCTTCGTCGCTGACGGCATTCGTGCCTTGCAGGGCAAGGAGTGTGGAGAGAAACTGACACTCCTCTACGATGCAAGTAGGATCTACTGAGTCCGAAGACGCAGTGACCATGCGATGCGCTTGAGTCGCACACATCGACGAGCCGGCTGGGGTCGATAGGAACCTAGCAAAGTAAGGACTGGAAAACTAGTGAATGGAGCTAGGCAAGTTAGGAAAGAGGAGCTTACAGGTAACCAATGGTATTGAGCATTCTCATGGGTACGCTGAAAGCTGCATCTTGTGCATTGTAGGCGTCTACTAGGGTAGGGAGATACTTTGCAGCAAATTCACTTATAGAAGTTCAGCTAAAGGAGTTGTCAGTGTCGATGTTGAAACGCACGAGTTGATTACGACGTGAGATGGATTTCTTTGGAGTAAAGCAAGCTAGTACAGGTGAGCAAGGCAGGGAGAAGAATGCTGAGATACAAACCTGTCGTTCGAGGGACAGCGGATTTTGTTGTTGGTCGCCAGTGAGGCCACAATACTCGGCCAGTGAATCGGCGGTGACGTTTAACAGAGCTTGGGTTCCAGAGACCCAGCTCATGGCTGTTATCTTGTCTGGCGCTGCATTGTCTGGATCGGACACCTTATAAAGTGAGACAAGTACTTCGCTTCCTTTTAACTTCAATAGAATAACGTAATCCACACGTATTCTCTAGAGTCTAGACAGTCATGTCCGTCAGCCTCACTTTCACATTCCGCACGACATCACACACCCTCCATCTTCCAACCGACACCCCCCTCTCTGTTCTCCATTCCCGCCTCGAGGCCCTCACTTCCGTCCCCCCATCATTGCAGAAGCTCATCTATAGAGGGAAGAAAATACAGCATCGACAGAATGACGACTCTGAGCCGGAACCCACCATCGTTCAAGCTGGCCTTCGCGACGGCATCAAAGTCCAAATGCTCGGCTCCACAGCAGAAGAACTCAAACAACTTACCGCAGCCGACTCGGCACGTCAGTCGAAAGAGCGAACTCTCAGAGAGAGGGCACTGAAGCCGCAGGTAAAGGTATGTCCCAACCCTTACTTATTCTAATATCTAGACTGGACGAAATTAGCTTCGTTCAACAGGTTCTTCATCTTCATCCTCCTCGTCACACCAATACCGCTTTCACCGCATCGAGCCGCTCTCTCATCTACCGCGATCTGAAACGGCGATGGAGAGTCTCACTACGCTTTCTCAAGACCCTGCAGTTCTACACGTCATGCAGAAGCACCGCTTTTCCGTGGGCTTGCTTACCGAGCTTGCGCCACACGAGAATCCCGGACTTTTAGGTCTTAATGTCGGGAGCGGAGACACCATCAAGCTCCGAATCCGCCTCGATACCTATGACGGATTCCGCCCATATCTAGAAGTGAGGCGCGTGCTGTGCCATGAGCTCGCGCACAATGTATGGGGCGAACATACCGATGACGTGAGTGACATCCTCGTCCTTCTTCTGCTTCATTAATATATACCACGTTCACAGTTCAAGGAGCTGAACTCGCAGATTAATCGTGAAGTCGCCGAATTCGAGGCGGCTGCTGCACACGGCACGCATTATCTTTCTGATGTGCGAAACGCGTATCAGCCGTCCTCGAACGAAGAAGTGGAGGCGCTCGTTCATGTCTTGGGAGGGACAGGCCCTCAAGGCGACGATACCATGGAAGAGAGGCGGAGGAGGGCGCTGGAAGCTGCCGCAGCCCGTCTCAAGAGCGAAGAAGAACTAGAACAGAGCTGCGGTACTTCTGGACCGCAGAAGCAATCTGGTCTATGATGGTTCAATAAATGTTATCTTTTTATCTTCTCAGATGATCGTGCTAGAGACGATGGGATAGTTTCATCTCCGAGATTTACTTCTCCTGCTGCTTACGTACGTCCTCATAGTGTCTTGCCATGATCTTATCTCACCGGCCGACTAGCTCAGTTGGTTAGAGCGTCGTGCTAATAACGCGAAGGTCTTGGGTTCGATCCCCACGTTGGCCATATTTTTTCTTTCGATATCTTTTGTACACCAGTAGTCGTCCGCAACGTTCCCAAATTGAATTTTCCCTAGTATGATCTCATCGCGCGTACCGCCACATAACTTTGCTAAAATCATTATTCCTTTGGTTTGAATGTCCAGATCTCCATCACCGTCTTCCCATTCCTCTTACACATGATAGCGCACGTCCCCTTCTTATACGCACACTTCCACACGCTCTCGCAGCGCTCGCTCAGATCCCGCACGTACCCTCCACCCTGCGTCTCAAACACGCGGACGCGCCCATCGTTTCCGCCCGTGATCAGCAAGTTGGCGTCGAACTGAAGCGAGGTCACCGAAGAATCATGCGCGGCGATGCGTTGCAGGGCGGAGAACGACCGGAGGGAGAACATGATGACGCGTCCGTCCGAGCCGCCCGTTGCGAGCAGGCCTGCGGTAGAAGACAGTTGCAACTGGCAGACGAGGGCTGTGTGACCTGCTAGCTGTGCGATGCAGTTCCTGTAAAAAAGGACGATTCGATCAATGAATGAAAAGCTGCTTAATGTGGTGTGGGCTCTTACCCTGTGTTCGCGTCCCATAACCTAACGGTAGTATCCATTCCCCCTGACGCGACGAGATCCCTGTCGATTGCGACGGAGTAGATCTGATCTCTATGACCTCTGAGCACCTGCAGGCATTCACCAGTATCGACGTCCCAGATCTACAAAAAAAAAAAATTCAAGATCAAACGCTCTCCTCTCCACTCTTGAAATAACACTGACCCTACATGTAGTGTCATAACTACCGCTGACAATCTTGTTACCACATATGTCGAGACATCGTACGCTCTTCGTGTGGCCACAGAGAACACGGAGCATAGTTCCCTTCTGAATGTTCCACACCCTCAGAGTAGAGTCTCGAGAGCCTGTCACGGCGATCGGGCGATTGTGCAGTACCCGGGCGCACCTAACTGTAGCACTATGCCCGCGAAGGACATAAATACAGTGGCTAAGCAATAGTAAGTCAAGAACTGAAGGAAATTACGCTCGGTCACCTACCCAGATTTCACGTCCCAAACGCGTAGGGTCTTGTCGCAACTAGCACTGATGATGATGGAGTTGGGCTGTCCCCATCCATCGCTGGTACAGCATACATCACTTGACTTTGGGTGGTCGCCCTGGACGCTCGTTGGCCGGCGCGTTCGCCTGGGTTTGTCGAGACCAAGTGCGGTCTTGAGAGCAGCAGGTACGACTGGATCGGGGCTTCTGTCAGAGTTATCTGGAGATTCATCTTCATCCATGTCCCCTCGCCCCCAATATCCACCGCGACAGACGAGATGGACCGCCCATACGCCCAACTCGTGCCCGGTGAGGGTTCGGCTGAGAACGCCCGTGATCGCGCTGAAGACGTGGATCTTGGAGTTGGCTAGGCCGATGACTATCCATTCTGTATCGAGTGCAACGGACGTGATGACGCCGCTACCTGGTGTCGGGGTGGGCATGCGGTGAGAACGGAGGAGGTGACCTCCTTTTTTGAGATTAAGCACTGTTGTAGTTCGAGATTAGTTAGTGACGGGACGCAAAACGGAGAGGCGATGCGTACTTGTACCATATGCGCGGCGAAAGTATTCCTGGTGCGAGAATTGAGTTTTGGACTGGGGTAGGCCATCGGAGGTGTATGGTCCCCAGTGAGATACAGAGGCGTGCTCCTGCAGTTTGAGGCGTTCTCGGGCGGTGAGCCATTGGAATGCAGGATCCATAGGATGGGATGCGAATTTGTCCAATTCGTCCCAGGTTTGGTCGTCTTCAAGGAGTTTAGGGCCACTCCTGTCCTCTGGATCTGCTCGAAAGCTGTACATGTCGCACAAAACCTTCCAGAGCCAGTCGTCTGAGACAAGGTCATGCCAGCGCTTGGAGACTTGACTTGCTCGAGCAAGAGTGCGGGGATGGTCGACGAAAGCGAGGATATGAAGAGAGAGTTCTGATGGTAGCTCTGTCAAGAAGTCGCGTTTGAGCATGGGGGTGATGGTCTGGGAGATGAAGCGAAGTTCGGCGGGGGAGCAGTCGTGGAGGATAGAGACGAGGTATTGTTGGCGAGAGACAGGACTAGCGAGAGTTGAGAATTCCGAGCGATGAAGGATTCCTGGATGGTAAAGGGGTGGAGTGGTATTACGGGTGGTGGAATTAGAATAAAAGGGAGAGAAAGTAGGTTGGGGTGAAGGGGCTGGTGTGGGTGGAGATGCGATTGGTATATACATGGTAGATGATGTGGATGAATGTTCAGACAAAGGATCAATGACTGGCATAGATTCATCCTGGGCCGTCATGGCTGGTATTAGAAAGGTGAAGTGAGTATCATAAGGGAGAAGTTGCTTGTGAAAAGGGTTTGGACCGACCCAGGAGGCGCCCATTTTCAGTAAGTGTCATCACGTGATACATTCTATTGCTGTATCCTTCAACGTCCTTCGAGTCTCGATTTTTCATCTGCTCCAGTTCAGCGCTCAGGGGACTGTCAGAGATCGCTCGCCATATACCACCACATCCTAATTCTATCGTTTATCTCGACGTCATGACAAATAAAAAGAAGATGCAGGCAAAGAAAAAGCAACCCCAAGCCACTCCTCCTCAACCACAGCGGCCCCAGCCAAATGGCTTCGAGTATGATCATACTCCACCTACATTTTACCGCCACCACTGATCATCCTTCTCAGCAAAATTTCGGCTCCTTCACCGTCCTCCTCACCTCCAGATCCTAGCCCCCCGGTCTCCCCTTCCAGTCCTGCTCCATCCAATAGCATTTCTCCCCCAGAGCCGGAGGGCCCTTCAGCAGAGGATGTCAAGGAACGCGGAAATGTAGCTTTTAAAGCAAAGCAATACACCGAAGCTATAGACCTCTATACCCAGGCTATCGGTATACCACCTCCACTGCCAAATCCTTATGTCACTGATATCCGAGATCTACAGACATGAAACCCACGGAACCATCATATCTCACCAATCGTGCCGCCTCATATATGGCTTTGAAGCGTTTCCGTCTTGCACTATCCGATTGCCAGCAGGCTGCCACTCTCCAATCCGCCGAGCCCTCCTCAAAGACCCTCATCCGTCTCGCCCGTTGTCAACTTGCCCTTGGTTTATCGGTCCCTGCATTAACCACACTACGTTCCGTCATTGCGTTAGAGCCCACAAATGCCGCTGCAGTACAATTAAATCACAAAGTCCTTGAGCTCGAAGCTCATTTACGTAGCTTCGAGGCTGCACGTGCACGCTGTGATTGGGGGATGGCACGACTGGCATTAGATAAATGTCTACAGACTATCGATGCAGAGGGTGGCGAGATACCAACTCAGTGGCGTCTGTGGCGAGTGGAACTCGAGCTCTCTCGAGGCAACTGGGATGCTGCCAACACCGCTGCCAAGTGAGTTCGACTCTATCACCCTGCAGTTTTTTTTCGGATAACAAGAACAATCTGTCAGCGATGCCCTTCGATTAGAACCTAACTCGCCGGAGGTCCTTGCATTGCGTGGTCTCGTCCTCTTCCTTAGCGGCAAGTTGCCTCAAGCGCTACAGCATGCTGCTTCAGCGCTCCGCCTTGATCCCGGACACGAGTCTGCTCAGCGACTGCGCAAGCGTGTAAAGGACGTAGAGCGATTAAAGGAAGAAGGAAACACCGCTTTCAAGGGCAGCAGGTTGCAAGAAGCAGTCGACCGATACACAGATGCTCTCGACGTACGTTCATTTTTATTTATTTATCTCGCGTCGAGCATTGATATTTATCCTTTCCTTTCTTCAGCGAATAGGTGAAGTCGAGGAGGAAGGTAAAGGTGGACAAATTCGAGCCACTCTTCTCTCGAATCGTGCTACCACGCTTGTGAAGGTATATCGTCAACAACAAGGTATCATACCACACAGACTCACTATCATTTTTTCAGCTCGAACGGTACGAAGAGGCGCTCGGTGATACGGAAGCCTCTCTCGCGTTGTACTCGACATCTTTCAAGGCGCTCCGCACTCGTGCACGCATCAACCTACACCTCGAAAAATATGATGTTGCCATTGCAGACTTCAGATCGTCCGCAGAACAGGCTGGTTTCGAGGGCCTCGACGCCGAAGTCAGATCCCTCAAGTCTGAACTGAAGAAAGCTGAGGCAGCACTTAAGCGCAGCAAAACGAAAGATTACTACAAAATCCTTGGTAAGTACCTTGTTGTGTGTGGGTCTTTTCGGACGAGTCGGTCTCACGATTATGATTATCTAGGCCTTGCTAGGGACTGCGGTGACGTTGAAATCAAAAAGGCCTACCGGAGAGAAAGTCTCAAACATCACCCTGACAAAGTCGATAACTTTTTTCCTTTTTTTCGTCCAGAATGCGCAGGACTGACGCTCTTTTTCTAGGGGGGCGATGAAGAAAAATTCAAGCTCGTCGTCGAAGCTCATGCGGTGCTGTCTGACCCTCATCGTCGTGAGCGGTATGACATGGGCGAGGACGAGGATGGGCAGACGGAGGGCGGCATGGGCGGCTCGGGTCCATTTAGTAATGCGGACCTTGCAGAAATATTCTCTCAATTCCAGGGCGGCGGGCCATTTGGTGGGGGTGGTGGAGGTGGAGGTGGGCCGTTTGGTGGAGGTGGTGGGCCATTTGGCGGGGGTGGTGGGGGCGGTGGTGGATTCCACTTCCATGTATGATCATGAGGAAGTAGACTAGACATCTATGGATTAGTTTTGTATTTTTTTCTTATCAAGATTGTTTACTTGGTATTTTTGTGAGGGTGGCGAGCCTAATGTTGCTGGAGTCGGATGGACAGCGCATACATAGAACTACATGACATGATCAAGTTTTGCTGCCGAGCTGGGCAACATGGAGAAATGAAAAGAAAAAAACTGGCCAACGTGGGGATCGAACCCAAGACCTTCGCGTTATTAGCACGACGCTCTAACCAACTGAGCTAGTCGGCCGTTGGAAAACACGCTCCGTTACTCCAATAAAAGTTCCTATGGTATTCTTCAAACCCCTGTACGTTACGC